ATAAACTGCTTTCATTTTGTAATGAATGACTAATTTAATTATGTATTTCTTTTGCGCACTTTTTGCGGTTCAGGACCTCAGTGGTCAAATCCGCTAATAAAGCTCTTTTTCATTCATTCATTCAATAGTTACTTCATATCATACTACTTAGTTCTTGAAAATCATTTTTGTGACCAGTACTTGCATCTACGAACATTTCAACGCTATTACTGAAAAGAAATGTGGTTAGTACGTTGTCACTCGTTGTAAAAGAGCTAAATTGGTTCATGACCAATGATAAAATATGCAAGAACATGATATATCCTGTCAATAGCCTACGTTAAACATAGTGTGGCACCTTCGTTATTCTGTACAGGAGGTCAGATGATTATTTTTATTCCTATTTCATTCAGTTTTTATTGCTCAAACAAAAAGCTTTGATGTGCAGTCATTTTTGAACTGAAATGGTGCCACTCACTTGTATCCTTTTAGCCTCATTATATCAAATCAAGATACGTAGAGTGAAAAGTCTCTTGTAGACTTTAGGTTTTATCCAATATAATCGATTATCAGAGAAGCAATCTATCTTATTTATTTCTGTATTTTAAAGTGAAATTTTGTCTATTTTTTATACATTATTATTATCATTATTATTCTAATCATTGATTTAACTAGAAAGTTATAATTTGATCAGTTCGTTCCTTTTTATATTGACTATAGGAAGACTGTCACAAATAAATGTATCACTATCCATCATTCTTGAAATTCTGAATATAAATTTTTATCTGTGTACAAATCAAAACCTGCGCTATTAAGAACATTCGCTAACGTAATGCATTCATTAAAATTTCGTGGAAAACTTTTGAGTGTTCTAGAATAGTCTAAGTCTCATTATTAATGTAGTTCAACGACTTTTTACCTCGCTAAGAAATTCTGACAAAAGAGTTTGACGTCTATAATCTTTGATGTCTAAAATCTGTAATAAACGGAGAAACCGAAACACTCGCACTCATTATTTTCTTCGAAAATATGTGAGGTTTGTTTTTAAAAACTACACTGCAAATAGTATTTAGTTCTCTTTTTTATTCTTTTTAACCAATCATAGTACATCGATTTCAAGAAGGATAATCATAATTAACTTATACATATATTTCTAATGTAGATCATTAAATAAATAAATATTAAAATTTCATTTTGCATTAATTTCTTGTTTGAATAAATTATTTTATACTAAAAGAGGATCGTTTTCGTTGACTTCTGATGTTAATTCATCATCATCAAATGGCTGTTTTTTTGTCAATATTATTTTTTGATTCATACGATTTACTAATGTTCGAAGATATTCAGCTTCAGCTGGACCAGTTTGTTCTACTAATGAAGCCAAATAAGAATTTGAATTTGATAATAAAACAAATGGTGTATCAAATTCAACTAATTCTCCATTATTTAATACCTTCAATGACACCAATAACAAAAATATAATTTCAAAGAAAAAAACAAAACATATGAAAATTAATTTACCATAATTCGATCGTTATCAATTACTGTTCTTAAACGATGTGCTATTGTTAATACTGTGCATTCTTTGAATTTATTTCGAATAACTTGTTGTATTAATTGATCCGTGCTAAATCATATTATGAATAATATCAAATATAGATTTTTTTAATTTTACTTACGCATTATCAACATTTGCTGTTGCTTCATCAATAACAAGAATTTTACTTTTTTTTAATATTGCTCGGGCTAAACATATTAATTGTTTCTGACCAATACTTAAATTTGAACCATTTTCACTAACTAATGAATCAAGTCCACCTAACATTATATCATTAACTAAAGTTTTTAATTGTACCTAAATTAAAATTTAATCGTTAAATAAATATTAAATTTAAGAATTTCTAACAAACTTCTAAAGCATTCCATATTTGATCATCAGAATAATTATTAAATTGATCAAGATTATATCGAATTGTACCTGTAAAAAGAATTGGATCTTGTGGAATTATTGATATACGACTTCGAAGATCATATAATCCAATTGTTGTTATATCAATATTATCAACTTCAATTTGACCATTAACAATTATTCCCATACGAAATATTGTTTGAATAAAAGAACTTTTACCTGCACCAGTTCTACCGACAATACCAATTTTTTCACCGCCTTCAATTGTTAATGTTATATTACGTAAAGCAAATGGTGAATATTCATCATTGAAATATTTCATAGAAACATTTTTAAATATAATTTGACCTTGTAATGGCCAATTATTTGCTGGCTGATGTTTAGTTAGAACTTGTGCAGCTGGTTCTTGATCAAGTGAACAATATTCTAATATTCGTTCAACAGCTGTCATATCGGTATCAACTTTTACTGATTGTCTAAATATTGAAAACAAAAAAAAACTGAAATATAATTCAATTCATATTTATTAATCAAACCTAATTGTCCATTGAAGAACTCCCATTAAACTGAGACTATATGAAAATGTAAGTGCAATATCAGCAGTTGAAAATTCTTGTTGATAAAGACGTACAAGTATAGCAAATGATGTAACAAGTGTAAGAAAAATTAATGTTATCCATTCAAAACGTATGCCTGCCCATCTTTCAGTTGTTACAAGAAAAAAATTAACTCGACTATTATCATCAAGACAAGAAAGAAATTCTTTCGAACACATTTTTTCAGCATAATAAGATCGAATAACTTTTAATCCATGAATAGTTGATGATAAATATGAATAAATAGGACTTCGTGTCATACCTTCAATTCGTTTTAAATCACGAAAACATTGAGCAAAACGATTACGTACCATTAACATTCCAATAATTCCTATTACAGCTGAAATAAATGACCACGGATTAATTAATCCAACTAAGACAATTACTCCCAGAACGGAAAACAAACACTAAACAAATCATCATACTATTGAAAATTCTATGAAGATATTAATTTACTTCTAGAAAATTTGGAAAACTAAATGATAGATCATTGTCCATCAGAGCAACATCTTTAGTAAAACGATTTAAAATTCGACCTAGTCCGAAGAAAAAAAAGAAACCTATATGTATAAATTTTCATTAATAAATTAAAACATACCAATTGGATTCATATCAAAAAATAATATTGGACAACGAATTACTCGTTGCCACATTCTATAATTAATATAATTAATATTTTAATAAAAATCAAAAGAAAAATTTACTTATTATGAAGTACTCGTGCAGCATTTAAACACATTAATTTTGATGTAAATGTACATAAAAAGCTTAATAATAATAGTAATATAATAATACCTAATTATTATTCAACTTAACTTATTTTAATTATATTTGTATTTAAACTCACCACAATAGATGTAAAATTTTCGATTACGATATTGATTCCATTCATTTTCAGTCATCGAATGTAAACTATTCACTTTTTCAGCCGTAATTGATTTACAGTTATCAAAAGTTTTATATCGATGGGTTTCATCATCACTCCATATTGCTAACCACCAACTACTACATAAAAATATAGTTTGACGTGCAGTTAAAAAGAGTAAAATAAATAAAAAACCAAAAATACAACCAACACCAGCTTTTATATATGAACTATAAACAGTCCATTTAATAGATCCCTCTTGTTTTGTATCAATATTCGTCATTAATACTTCTTTTTCGTCTTCTTCTGAATGTACTGTACTGATGGTTGATTGTTGCTTTTGAATATCTCTTGAAAATTCTTGTTTTTGTTGATGAATATCTTCCAGTAAATGAGCGAATAAAGTTGAAGAAGAAATTAATTCATTATATGTACCCATTTGAATCATTTCACCCTTAAAAATGTATAATAATAATAATTTATTTGATTAATAAAATTAAATATTTACATTATTAAGTATAATAATTTTTGTTGAATCTTGTAAAAATTGTATTTGATGAGTGACTAAGATACAAATTTTATCACGAAGATAATTTTTGATTGCTCTAGAGAAAAAAATGTTAAATTCTTTTTTTGTTGTTGCTGTTATTGTCTTTACATTTCAAAAAGATGTTTAGAAACTTTAACATCAACAGCAGAAAGAGGATCATCTAGTAGATAAATATCAGCATTACGATAAAGAGCTCGTGCCATATTCACTCGTGCTTTTTGACCCTAAATAATTTAAATCAATTATTTATTTGATCAAATTTAATCTATCGTTCTTACTCCAGATAACATTACACCGTGATCACCAACAAGAGTATTAGCACCATGAGATAACTGTTCAAAGTCCTATATATAGGATGTAATAATAATATAGTAGATGCGTGTTATTCTTGTCGTTGAAAAATATTGTATTGGTATATTTTGATAGACCTTACAGAAATTGAACTACGCTAGAAAGAGTATGGATGTATCTTCTCTTTACACTCATAACCTATTCGTTCATAGATGTTATAGAAAACTTTTTAGCTCTATCGACAGTAGTGAGCTAAAGAAAAGGAGAGAAGCTTAAGGTAATTTTTAGTCATAAGGTTCTTCTTCTCTTCGAGGAAAGATGATTAGATAATAATAATAAGTTTAGCAAGAATTTTGTTACACTTATTGTGGATTAAAGATTAAGCGAAACGTTGAAATGAATATCTGATTTATAAATTTTCATTACTAAGATGTATATAAGTAATAGTAGACATTCTTTGCTTAAGAGATGAATGAATAAAACCTATATTGAAAAAAACATTGTGAACAATTTTCTAGGATTTTTTTATTCAACTTTTGACAGCGTGTAGTTTTGAATCGTCAGACTAAAATTTCTAGCATTAATTGCAAACAAAAGTCTAATAGATCCAAATTAATAACAAAAGCAAAGACTAGTGCATCAGCTTAACTGCACTAAACAAAAAGAAAATTTTTCTAATAGCTCGTGTAACTAAAAATAAAAATTGTTGCTGCTCAACTTATTAGAGAACACCTGACAGTTAAATTGGGAGGTCGAAATTTTGGCTTGCTACGGAATTCCTCTTGTTAATCTTGATAAAAAGACTTATTTCTATGAATACTTGGAATATTTCATAGATCTTAGCGGCACATATTTTTATTAAAACATAGTGCACTGCAGGATGACATAGTACTTTGCAGTATTCATTAGTTAAGAGTGAATCAGACGTGCATTACTTGGTAGTCCTATTGAGTACTCCACTTTTTAATATTGGTACTGATTAGATCAACGTAATAACTATCTTAAAAAACTACATCACTTCTTATAGAATCAAAGCAGATTGCTCAATACTATGTCGTCCTACTGGGCACTGTGTTTGATTGAAAATAGATACTACTGAGCACAACGGAGTGGACCAACCTTTTATAGGGCTTCTAGTATTTAGGACAATTAATGAGAGAAATTTCATACCGGCTGAAATTTATGTCACCTGTTAAATGGTTACATTCGCCTAAGGTAATTAATATTACATTAATTTCTGACGTATATATATATATATATACGAAGTTCTAAATCAACGTACAGTATCAAGTGCAGTAGCATGTACAACATCTCGGAATAATCTATGATTGTATTCTTTGCCAAAAAGAACATTATTCTTTATTGTCGATGCAAAAATCCCTAATAAAATAAAACAATTGATGAATTGTTCTATTTTCAAATTCCTCATATTTCTCACATGCTTCTTGTGATACATAACAAAATGATCCATGTAATCGAACTTTTCCATCAAAATAAGCTATTTCACCAGTTAATGTTTGTAAAAGTGAACTCTGGAAAAAAATGAAATAATTATATTCGAATGATATGTTCATAATAATTAGTTTAAAAAAAATACAAACTTTGCCTGATCCAACTGGTCCAATAATACATATCAAATCACCTGGATGAGCATCGAAAATAATATTTTTTAATGCAAATAAGCCATTCTAAATAAGACACATTAAAAGATAATTTCTTTATAAATACTTACTTTTTCCCATTGTGCTTGTTTCAAATTACATATCACTTGTATATCTTCATCAATATTATCATTAATTGTTTTCGTCTCATTCGATGATGAATACAATCGATTATCTCGATCACATTCATCAAGTAATAAAAATGACTATGTAGAAAAATTCTTTTTCAAAATTAACAAAAGATTATTTATACAAACTTCAATTCTTTTTCGAGCAGCTAAATAATTAGAAAGAAATCGAAGACCCAAAGAAAAATATTCAATAACATATATTTTCATAAAACCCAATATACAACAAGCAATAACAAAGAAACGTGTATCAAATCGTATATTAAGTGACCACATTGTTCCAAACATGATAAATAAAGATATACCAGTAAAATTATTTGAAAATAACATTTGAATACATTCAACCATAGAATATAAAGTATATTGAAACATTTCTCGTCTAAATACATTTAGATATTAAAATTGTTTATAAAAAAACAAAATATTTAAATTGAACATACTTTCTGATAAGACAAATTCTTTTACTAAATGCTGTTTCCCAACAATACATTTTTACAATACGCATTGATTTGATTATTTCAGACATTATTTTTATACGTTCATCTGTTATTCGGAGAATTTTCGTACTAAAAAAAAACCCTAAAGTCATTAGGAAAAAGAAATGATTAAGAAAGAAAATAAGAATAAACCGTAATCGAACAAAAATACGACTGTATAATGGTTGAACAAGAAGAAGAAAAACAGAATATCCCATAGCAATAAAAGCAATATATTTAACAAAATGCCAAAATACGATGGTAATGAAAATAGTTTGCAAAGGAGCAATCTAAATACAAATAGAATTTTCAATATTTGTCCGGTTTGTAAACAAATATCATTAAATACTATATTGTTGATTACCTAACAATTAGATATATACGAAACACAAATTGAAATTTAATGTTCGATTTCAATTTTTCATAATTCAGACTCACGTTTGAATTTGATGACAAAATTCAAGTTCAATTTCAAGTTCAGTTTTTCTGAACATACAGGAACTATTCCAAAGTATACTTAGATTTCAATTTAGTTATTTGGAAAAGTTGTTGACATTTTTCTGAGATACCTGTAGTCCCTTAACTTTTCAATAATTTTTTCAGCGTAGCTAGATGATACATATCCAGATTTTTAATCCTATATGTTGACTTATTTCAAATAGAGGAGTGAAGTTACTGTTACATTACTAGTTATCGGGTAATGTGGTGACGACAAATTCGTGTGTTTGATATTTTTTACTACAGTAGGACTGTTTTGGGAAAGTAGTGATTTGCTGACTCGGAAAACGTTTGATCAAACCTGATATGAAAAATCGCTACTTTCCCATAATAGACTTTCTGTAGTGAAAATATTAAATCTACAAATTTTTCTTCATCGTGTTACCTGGTAACGGTAACTTCTCACCACTAATTTTAGCTTCTTTTCATTATCAACTAACAAAAAAATGACTAAACTCGAGGTCGAACTTGAGCGTTTGCTTTTGATTTTATCTGCCTAATAAGTACATGTTTGTCGTGTTGAAATTTCTTTTGTATCATTTTTCATGAAATTCAAACAAAAGAAAAAAACATCAATACTTGTGAATACTGTAGTCTATCGGTGGGAGTGCAAACAAACATGCAACAAGGGTTAACAATAACAGTATTAAAAGACATAGTTAGAGTATAATCCTTGTCAAATGAAAGGTTTTCTATTGTAAAGTTAATTTTTCTTTGTTTATCAAATATCTTATTTCAATACTTTCGACAAAGAACTTTAAGAAAAACTTACCCACAAATAATTGACAAAGTAAAGCATTAATTGAACTTTGTTAGTATCATCAGATAATAAATTAGTAATTTCTCCAGAAGTAATAGTGTTCATTGAACGACTTGATAAACGTAGTAACTTAAAAATAATATTCTTCAATCTCATTCAATAACTTATTTGTCATTTACTTTACGATAAATTAAGCCTGCATAAGCCGCAGAAATTTGTATAGCATATATGTCACATTGATAAAAATACTATAAAAATAAAACTATATCAAAATTTATTAAATTCATATTAAGATACCCGATGAATAAGAAGACTTGCGAATAATGGAATTACAATTGTACTTATAGCTAGAAGCCAAGCATGCCAAACAGGCATTGACGAACATGGCTCAAAAAAACGCATGAGAAATGTAAGTAATAATGATAGAGTAATTTGAGCCATTCCCTCAAAAAAAAATCATCAAATGATTTGAGTAATTTGCTTAGTAAACTGAAATTTTGACTTACATGTAACAATGCAAAAACACCATGAAAAATTAGTTTCCATCCAAACGTACGTAATGTAACTCGGATTAGACTCGGATTTTGTGGATATCGTTTTACTTCATCAAACCAATTTGCTTCAATTTTATCAGTAAGTTCGGTTGATTTAAGATGAGATGGAAGAGCATAAAGATCATTGAAATGCAATACACCCTGTTTATGACTTTTTCTCATTAAAGGAGATAGCCAGCTAGTGAAAATCATCAAGATTTTGATTAAATTAATTCAAAATTTCAATCAAAAAAAAGACTTACTGATGAACAAGTCGAGAGAAAATATTAGCTTTTAACAGCGGAGACGAGTCGTCTGAAGATGATGACATCTATGTAAAAATAAGATATATACTGTTTATTTCTACAGCATAGAGTTATGCGTTTTTTTAGAATAAAATAATATATTTATTAACATAAAAAAGAGCAAGAATCACTCAATACATAGAACTTTCTCTCCTTTATAACGATATGTTAGATTTCTGAAATGTTATTAATAGTTAAAAATACATAATTAATTGTAAAGAATCCATAATCAATGATAACAAGTTTCGTAAATGCTGACGTCTTCATGTGAATATCAATAATTCCTAAATAATATGGATCATCATGTAAATTGAAATTCTTCAACATTTTAATCTTCAATAATGAATTAAAATACAACAATGGAATTTTTTTTTATCTATGGTTAGGTGTTCTATTAATGTTAGTAATGAAGATTTAGATTAAATTATAATATCAATCAAGGTAGCTTGTTGATGAGTTCTTTTGTTTCTTAAGAATTCATGTTAACGTAAGTTTGGTTTCATTACAATGCGATATAGCAGATCATGATAATTGTTAAATAAATGATCAAATGTTCGATTTCCGAAAATTGATGAACATAGTTTCATTTTAAATTATTATTAATTATGGACATAAATACTTAGAGGTAGCATAGATTAATATTTGGTTATAAATTGTCTGTTATCTACATATAGACTAATTTTCTTGTGATTCGAAACTTAAATGCTCATGTTGTTTGCTAAACTATTTGCTGTCATTAGCGAAAGTTTTACGCAGCAAGGTAGCTTGAAAGCATTGTTTTGTAACTTTTCTTGCAACATTCGACAGATATTGTTATAAAAGAAAATAAACTAATCATTACTAATAATATACCACTTCCTATCAAACAGATTTTATCAATTGAATAAGGAGACAAAGATTATTAACGAGTTCTTAGAGGAACAGAGTTGAGCATGACAGTGTTCTGCAATATATCTGTAACAAACAAAAGCAGGGTGATAAGCTGGAGGAAGGCAGCGTCACTATCCGCGTCGGTAATGGTGTCTCTTAAGATATACCTCATATCTCTAGCCGTGAATATTTAATATACAATACAAGCCTATCTAATGAGATAAAGAGAAAAAAATAAGAAGGAAGCAATAATAAGTAAGAGGAAGAACGGATATTAGGAAGAGAGTGATGTCAATATCGGCACATATCCTACTTAGTATACACGCATTCTTAAACGTCTGTACAATAGAGAAGTAACAGAAACAAAAAAAAGAGACCAACAATAACGATAAAGAATCCACGAACGAAAATACACCATTAAGTTCATGGTATGAACTTAATTGATTAGGGCAAACAAAACCATTCTCTTGACATTAAATAATAAGATGTGTAATTAACATTTCAACTATACTACTATTGACTTTGTGACACAATGATACGAAAACCAGCGGTACACCGCACATGGCATACATATAACAACTTAGCTTCACATTGTTTAAACAATCAAGGTGAAGAAATATGAGCCATTTTCAGTCGAACACTCCGGAAAATGGTAGAAAATTGGAAACAGAAATCCGATCATCAGATTCCTGCTTCCAAGCACCAACCATTCTTTCGAGTTTTCTGACGTGAAACTGTTGGAAATTCACGAACTCAAACGTTGACATCATTGATCTGAGAATCTATATCGGTATTGCATGAAAAAACAACCATTTTCGTAATTATGAATTAGTCTATAGTGACTATTTTTTATAATAGAGAATGAAAGCAGAAGAATTCATCTTTTCAACATTAATTGAAAAGTCACACCGAGTAATAGTTTTCCATGACATTCTATAATAGTTTCATACAGTTACGTCTTAGACAAATAGAACTAAGAAAAGCATATGCAACAAATATCAAACATTTATTTCTCATTAGCGTTCATTTTCAAACGAAAAAATTCTTTTTTCAATCCGTTTCATTTCTCTTTGCCTTGATAGTGACCAATTTTGATTATTAGTGACAAAGAGCTCAATGAGAATCAATAAAGATAATACAGATAATTATGGCTTGTTTGATTATACTATTCGTGCTATATGTATAATTATAAATTTAATTGAACCATTGTTGTTTATAGCTCAGATGCAGTCACTTTGATTAATTATAAGCACAAACTTGTTATTGCATGAGCGAAAAAGTATACGATAGAAATGAAGAGTTATTAAGTAATTTAAAACGAACGGACATGCAACATACAGATATTAAACAGCATAATAGCCCAATATTTGCACGATCATCCAAGATCTACTGCTCTTTCGTACGCTTACAGATGCTCTATAACATTATAGTTCTCATGGTACTGCCATACTTTAGTAATGACATTACTTGATAAAAGCATATCTCTCTACACATTTTCGTACGATAAATTGCATCGAATTCTTTATTTTCTTAATATATATATATATGAGTCCGACAAAACCTAGCCAAATCCTGTTGTCAGGATTGTCATGTCACAATAATATTCGTGATGGACTGATGAATTTGTGTTATTCGCACAATATCCATACAGATGACTTCACTGCAAAGAATCAATACGTATTGTAGTTATTATAAAGTGCTCTATCACACCGGTGGACTTAATTAAACACAACGGTTTCTAATCATTCTGTTGTATGCTGTAAACACAGCAATAGATTTTTTTAATCAATGATTGTTTTCAAAGAAATTTCAGTTCATTTGCTAGAAAGAGGCCATAATGCGAACACAATCACAAATAGTAGGTTAAAAATTTGCAAGGCGAAATACTTAACTAAGTCTATTCTGTAGACTTTTATCTGCAAACACTACGACTGTTTGCATGCATTGGAATTTTTTCTTAAAAGCAAATCAACGTAGCAAGATGTATTGACTCATATATTTTTCAAATAAATTCGTGTTCATTTGACTTTTCCACTCTATATTACTAATTCTGCCTAAACCATATAAAATACATTTATCTATGAAATATAAACGTTTGAGAACTATGTCGATTAAAACATTTAGACTTTCCTTTTTTTAAGTCTGAAATGCAATAGAATGAATCCATATCAGAAGATCAAATACAATGTAGCTCGATGATACTAATAATAAAACTTTACATATAAAAAATGATGTAATCTATGAAGGGAATCTTCAAATCAACTTATCACTTTTTAGAACATCTACTTAAATCATTTTTTGGATACGAATGATAAAAATCCGATTAATAAAACTTTTTAAAGAGATCCCGTCAAATTCTTAATCTGTACTTTAATATTAACTAAACACTGGAGAATCAATTTTACATTTCAAATATACAAAATTACTTTACAAAACAATACTACGAGAAATGAATGTTGTTTCAAAACGATATTCTTACTCCTACTGGAATCAGTGGAGTATAAATTACAGAGATTTAAAACTTCAAATAACTGCATAAGATTAAAATATAGTTTATCCATGTTTATATTTCTTATGATAGTAAAGATCTACTCATACTGAGTTTACTTCTATCATTTTTTAGATATATTCATTATTGTTAGTTGAAATTTGAAAATATTAAAAGGAAAAAATCAAGCACAAAAGTCGATGGATAGTAGGTTACAGAATTTAATACTCATCGACAGCCTCTTCTTCATTCTAAATGAAAACAAATTATGAAATGACAATAAAATTTTCAAGTAACTAATTACTTACAAGAACTGTGTCAATGCCAACTTCTTCATAATCTTTTTCCAATGCTGCTAAATCTTCTCGAGCTTCAGTAAATTCACCTTCTTCCATTCCTTCACCAACATACCAATGAACAAAAGCCCGTTTTGCATACATCATATCAAATTTATGATCAAGTCGAGCCCATGCCTCTATTTAAAAGAAAAACAACGAATTAATTAATAAATAATACTATTTTAATTTAAATGCATTACCCGCAATTGATGTCGTATTTGCTAGCATACATAAAGCTCTTTGAACTTTCGCAAGATCCCCACCTGGAACGACCGATGGTGGTTGATAGTTTATTCCAACTTTAAAACCTGTTGGGCACCAATCAACAAATTGAATCGTTCGTTTTGTCTTAATTGTTGCTATTGAAGCACAAACATCTTTTGGAACAACATCACCACGAAATAACATACAACATGCCATATATTTTCCTATCATATAAAGAAAAATAAAAAATTAATATGTTTATTTTTGATTTACCATGTCGTGGATCACATTTAACCATTTGATTAGCTGGTTCAAATACTGCATTTGTAAGTTCTGCAACTGATAATAATTCATGATACGCTTTTTCAGCTATTAAAATCATTACATAAATTAAAAAGTCAAAAGACAAGAACGTTTTTTTTTTTATATACAAACCGCTAATAATTGGTGCATAGGTTGCTAATGGAAAATGAATTCTCGGATATGGAACAAGATTAACTTGAAATTCACCAAGATCAACATTTAAAGCCCCATCAAATCGTAATGAAGCTGTAATAGATGATACGATTTGTGCTAGTAATCGATTAAGATTTGTATATGTTGGTCGTTCAATATTCAGATTTCGACGACATATATCATATAAAGCTTCATTATCAACTAAAAATGCACAATCTGTATGTTCAAGTGTTGTATGAGTTGTAAGAATTGAATTATAAGGTTCAACAACAGCTGATGATATTTGTGGTGCAGGATAAATAGAAAATTCAAGTTTTGATTTTTTTCCATAGTCCACACTTAAACGTTCCATTAGAAGAGATGTAAAACCAGATCCAGTACCTCCTATTGTTTTAATAGATTTTAGTCCATTGAATTATTTTTTTTTCTTAATAAAAATTTACCTCCAAATGAATGAAAGACTAGAAATCCTTGTAAGCCTGTACATTGATCTGCTACTCTACGAATACGATCAAGAACTAAATCAACTATTTCTTTGCCAACTGTATAATGTCCACGTGCATAATTATTAGCTATTTATCAAGAAAAAAAAAAGAAATATTCATAGTTTGATATTAAATTTTCAATTCTATACCTGCATCTTCTTTTCCAGTTATTAATTGTTCTGGATGAAATAATTGTCGATAAGTACCTGTTCGAACTTCATCTGAATTAATAAAAGATAAAATCAATTTAATATTTAACTTTTTCTATTAAATGAAATTTACCTATTACTGTCGGTTCTAAATCTACCATAATTGCTCGTGGCACATGTTTTCCAGCACCTGTTTCATAAAAAAATGTATTAAATGAGTCATCACCACGACCATTAGCAGTTAAATCTGATGGTATTAATCCATCGGGTTGAATACCATGTTCCAAACAAAACAATTCCCAACAGGCATTTCCCATTTGTACGCCGGCTTGGCCGACATGAATTGAAATACATTCGCGCATTATATCTTGTTTTTTTTCGTTTATCGCCCAAAACTACTAGCGTCTATCGTCGTTAGTGTCTTATATATAGCAAGAGAGCACGCGAAAAAAAAAAGTTTTTTTTGATGACTCATCAAATACAACAAAAATAGGATAGAAAAGAAAAGAAAACATTACCTAACACCAAACCTTGCTGGTAATGAATTGCATTTGCACGTCCGTCTGAGCGTACAATAGGATGACTCATTTGTTAAACATTTGAGATGACTCATTAGATAATGAAACAAGTTCACTGTATTACAACAGAACTCTTCAATTTCATTGAATATAATTCTTTTCGTATTATTATGTGATCGATATCAATACAATCATAGTTCAAACAGATTGAATCATCACTATGACACATACATGTTGAAATAAGCATGAATACAAAAAAAAAAATCGATATTCAGAAACATATTTGAAATTAGAAAAAATTAAATAAAGGTGAGAATATTTTATATTCATTAAACAATTAGTTAATCATGTTTGATGAATCGTTTTAGTCATTTCAAAATCTTCAATCACTATGACAGATAACTATCTTTTAGTCACTTTATTCTGCCTATTTTCTCGCTTCTAAGTATATGAGTTTATAGCTTTGCCTACGTAATATTCATTGCTCAGTAATTTTTTGAGTCATGCACTCTTCCTTTTGTGTACACGTTGCTCTTATTTCAATAAATTGTGAAAGAATAAATGATAAATATCGACTTGCTGTTATAGTCAGGCCATAACCAATCGTCAATCTAGGATTTCGAAAAAGGGTCCCGATCATAGTCCTAAAGCGTGTTTTGAGGTCGACTAGACGTTCTGTTTTGGATTATTTTTTAGGAATTTTCTGCTAAAAAAAGCTCAAAAAATATTTCAGAAAGGAGAACCGATCGTCTAGCACTTGCTATAAATCCATTCCTGCAATTATCAATAAACGATTATTACATTTCGCTTCTTGATATCAAATTTCTTGTTATAATGTTGACTATGACGATGTATATTTTTTTCTCTTCTTCTGTAAGAATACTAGATATAGACATGTTCGTAGTGATATAGAGTGTCTCATAATAACTGATGATAAATTATCAATGACATTTTTCATACTTTTCGTGATGTAGAAGGCTGAAATTTTTATCAAAAATATATCTAACCAAAATGTGTGGTTTTTCAAAGTTTCAACTCTCCAACTAAAACTAGTGCTGGCATGCATGGACGAACTATTCAAGAGTATATTTATATCTAGAATCTTTCAGATTTTATTTTTAAATGTTCGTTGGTCACGAAAATAGAAAAGATTTTCGAAAGAAAAATGTGAAAAAATGGCCGACAAAATATCGTATCAATTACAGCTGATGATAGAAAACAATGAAGAACATTTTCATACATATTGAATTTTATTATGATTTACGGTTTTCAAAAAAAGTTGTCCCGTAGAATTTCTATGCATCGAGAGTTTATAAATATAATTAATCAAGAAATAAAAATGTTACAAAAATCAACTACGAAAATTCATGCATTTCAGCACTTGTTTTAGTTCGAGATCTGAGACATTGAAATATTAAAGGTCTTTATTAGAAAGATTTTTGTTAAAAATTTCACCCTTCTACGCCAAGACAATATCTGAAAAGTGTCATTGAAAATTTATCATCAATTACTATCGGACATCCTTTATTAATATAACTGAGGTGATGAAGTAGCTCAATAAACATTATTGTCCAGAGTGGCAGGAAAGCTACTCTGCCAGCTCATCACAGACAAATATATAGAGTTTAATTTGAGAATTCGTTATAAAAACAAAACTAATGTTCTTTTCGAATAATTCAAGGTAATTACTAATAATCTACCGATCATTCTATTTATTATCAAACAAAGTACAAAGCCTTTTATTTATTCAAATTTATTGGAACAGACGTTCAGCATATGATCCATCAGCATAGAAAATTAATCCTTCAATAAAATAGGCTCTTTCATACAAGTAATGTTTTCGTTCGCTGTACACTCTAGCTCATCGTCTTGTTGAAGAATCACTTTCTACTGTGGATCATTATGATATAAACATGGGATATTATATTTGATATAATGTCTACAAGAACTATGCACGGTCGACGTGGGCAAGGCCACTCCATGTGCACGAATTTGTTTGCCGGACGGCACTTCTTTATGAGATATCGCTCGTTTTTTTACCTGATTTTGATATTCATTCGCTAAATTTATAAATTAAATTGTAGCTAATGTTAATTAAAATTTTATCCCGATAATAAATCGACCTAACTCAAAAGTCAGCGAATTTCACCATGACTAACAAAATATATAAAGTCATCTAAATCTAAATTTGTACTAACTTGAATACAAAATCGTTTAAGATTGAAACCAACACTTTATAAAAATATATTTCGTGATATTTTCAACTTTATGCTGTTATTTGTACTCGAATGTTCGAAAATGAAGCATAAATTTTCTAAAAATAGTTATATCGCAACAAACATGAGGGAAAAGTTTTTTTTAGTTATCGCTAGGCGTGGAGGGCTGCTGCCAAGATGGCTTTTTGGCGTTGACCATCTCTGTCGATACTTTAGAACTGCACTGTTCTTCGCATCATGCATATCTTTTGTGTGTACCGGTAATTGTTGAGCCATGCTCAATAACAGACAACTGAGTTTTATTACAAGCACTTCCTTCCAAAACAGTATAGTGAAAAATGTGCCCTGTTTCATTGACTTTATTTCCATTTTTTTCCTAACACAATATACATATTTATTACACTTGCATTAGAATACAATCATACGTTGATACTTACCATATTTTTTATTATTCATTTCATAATCAATGATAAATACGCTGACTGTTGGATCATCATTTTTCAGTGACAGCTGAATATCAACTATATATCGTTTTTTTTTTGAACGATATTTTGCATGAACAATATCACCAAGAACAAGAAGAACCGTGCCAACGTGAACATAACATCTTGATATCATTAGCAAATTAGTCGGAGATTTTCTATTGTTTATTCACGATATAAAACAACAAACGGTGGTAGTCATTGTTACACAACTTCAAACATACTAGTTTGATTTTTTTGTACATTTGATAAGCTGCGTGTAAATGTGGGTAGGTGAGAGTGAATAGAACACTCCACGCTCTGACGATACCTTATCAATTGACTGATTATTGTCATGTTCGTTTCAGTAATCGACTGTTATGTTTCCATTTTCCACGCTAGTAATTTTAAACGTCAGAATTATCAAATAAAATATACATATATTTCGACATTAGTAGGGTAAATCAATCTATCAAATTTCATATGATACATTCCCCAATATAGGTAAGATGATGAGTTTTAATACGACGTTGAAGTTGCAGAACATCAAAAGAGAAAATGTTGGATGTTGAATGAAGTAGATGGAAATTTTCCAATACTGCATTTTCTATCCGTTTACTTTATCGAATGGAACAAAATATAGATTTTTTGTATTGTTATCGGGTGCACGAACAATAAAACGGTGTGGGTGTGTGAAAAGAACACCGACAGCCACTTCGACAACCACATCCATAATCGCACAGTGCCATCCTCCGATTATTCTTTAGTACAGATTAGAAAATTTTTGATATTTTCTTCTTCGACTTTTTGAATTTCTATGGTGTTCTACTTGACCAATATGATTAATTAGCAATAGATAGAGTATTTAAAGTACTTGAAAGAATATTCAATTAAAATATATCATCGTCCTTAAATAGATATGCATATTAAAGCTGACTTATAAATAATTGAAAAAAGTAACCGAACACCGATGCTCTTTCTTTTGATTAACGCGCGAGGAATAAAACAATAATTTCTACTATCGTTTCAAATAAGCTCTAAGTACAAACCAAGATCGTCTTATTGTCTAGCTACCGATCAGCTTTCGTTTAAAATGGTTATTGCTTAAGCTAATGTGAAAAGGTCATATGCAATGTACTATACAAGCAATTACTGTCCACAAAACTTTACAGACTATATTAAAAATTTATTGAAAAAAAAAATGCTTTCCATATTTATGTCAATTAACATCGACAACCAACATTTGCAATACATCGTTCACCAGCTAAACAACATTGACTTTTATGTGGAGCATAATTGCATTCACTTTGACCAGTAGGACAATCTTTGACGTTTGATGAAGTATTTTCATTTGTTGCTAAAATTGTATCTATAACAGATTTCCAGTCTGATAATGACCATGATGGACCAGCACTTGTGATCACACCATTTATAAGAAATGTAGGTGTACCAACAACACCTAAATATAATATAAATTAGAATAGATGAAAATATTATTTTTTTATGTGATTTAATTTACCTCTTGAACAAGCATATTTCCATGAAATACGTGTTTCATCATTAATATCATCACTCATCATTCCAACCATAAATTTATCTTTTGATACTAAACCAATTTGATTTACAAATGTAGCAAGTGAATCAATAACTTGTGGTATAGTCATAGATTTTGTTGCATCATTATACCATGTTGTTTGATTTTCAAATACTTTTGTTGTGTATAAATATATAGCATCTAAATTTCGATTAGTTACATTAGCAATAACATGTAAACCTTGAGAAGCTACAAATGAATTTGTATGATAAGGAAGTGGAAATGTATGTATACGAAAATGAATTCATATTCCATAAGCTTGAATAACTTGTAAGACTGTTGGCCATGAAGCTTTGCTATTTGGACAAAGTGGATCTAAAAACATATCAATAACAACATGAGCATCTGCTGGTCCACCAACACCATATCCATCTGGACGTGATGGAATTGGTACTTGAGTTGAAACAAAGCCAATAAGTACTATGAGAATGATTGTCAATTGCATTTTTATTTGTTTGATTGTTTTTTCTTGCTTTTTTGTGGTACTTTTTCGTTTGACTATTTATATCATATGAATGACAAGATAAGAATAGAATGACAATAGTCATGCACTATCATGATTAACATAGTGTCTTTTGTTATTCGTAAATAAGTCAACAGTATAGCGCTTACAAAGCATGTAAGTTATGACATGATAGAATATCATAGTGTCATCAATAACAACACAAAGTTTGTTTGCGGTTTAACATATATCATCATCTGGAATAAATATTTTTGCTAGACGTGATGTCTATTGTAAAGCAGAGATATATGTATGTGGACTTGGTATAGTCGATGTTTTGCTAATTCGAATTAAATTTGAAGAATTTATTGACTTGAGAACTCAACGGTTTGTAGGTAGTTTAAAAGCCTTTTTAAGGTGAGACGGAGCTTCCTTTAGCCTTTGCCCAGTTATATCACTAACTCGAGTCAGTGATGTCCATAGCGACGATGTCGCCGCCGTATCGACAGCGCGGGACAGGTTTATAAAAATATTATTGCGACAGCAGCAGCTCTTTCTCATGGAGACTGTAAAATTCCATGGATTTGATTCGATTTGAGTGTCTACAAATCAAGATTATCGATTTCATTAATACATTTTATGCCCAAAACCCTTGTGCAATTGTAAGTAGAAAAGAACTCACGCTGTACTTATTCAATGTTTTCGTAGTAAGAAAATGAGATTAGTGAAATGTCACATTTATCCGAGAAAAATCTTTCGCCGAAATATTTACCACAACATTTGTAATGTACAACTGTCAACTCAAAATGATAGAATTACTGATATGCACATTAAACTAAAACAATTCAGATTTATTGAAACACATTCACTCATCAAAAAAATATATGGTCACGTGGCTAAAATGTCACAGCCGATATAATTGTCAATTTAAGTAAACTTATTTTCTATTTTACTTATATACTTAAAACAATGAATCCAAAGTGACTGATAATATAAAAAACATGTGATTAGCTTACTTTTTTTTTCTTATGCTAATTATACTTACAGGAAATGTTTTGCTATAAATAACTTGACAGTAGAAAATAGAAAAATATTTATGTAAACAAACTTTGAATTCCTAATTTTTGAAATCTGAAATATGTTAAAATTTGAGATGATCGCAGATTTTCAAAGAATCAGCAAGAAGTAGGATTGTTTTTATTTTACTTGAAATAGATAACATCACACGTTTAACACCTTATTCAATAAGTTATTATCAGAAAAAGTCACATTATATTAAAATGATTTATTCATGCTTGTTATTTGTTATTATTTATCTCCAATTTGTAATCAGCATCAGTCAAATATTGATACACTTAAGATCATAAATTAATCAAATATATTTTTATTCTGACAAATCAGATACTAAAAAAAACATCTGAATTTTAATTTATATGCCAATTTGAATAAAGTGATTATCAACAATTATAAAAACGTACCAGGGTAAAATAACAAACTAGTGTCGCAAAGTTATTAATAGTAAAAAAAATCTACTTTTACTTTTGTTCTTTATATTCAACAAATATACTATATAGTATACAATTATTTCAATCATTCACTTACAATAGCGGGTGAATGGATCAACTATTCTTTTTTCTTCGCGATCCGATTCTGAAGCTGAACGACAAATTCATATATATGTTTATCGTCGAATTTGTTGATATGCAGGTATATGCGCCCTCCTCCTTACATGTGCACTGCTCTCTGTCCAATGAAGCACAGCAAAAGAAAGAAACGAAAAAAAAAACAGACCTCAACTTCTCTGTTCTTGCAATTTCTTGACTATATCGACCGTCATTTTTCTTTTTCATTACTTAAGCAATGTTGATCGGCGTAAGAACTCAAATATTATTCACCACTAGTATATTACTATTGGTTAAGATTACACATACAAATGCATCAAGACGTGCACAAGATAAAGCAGAAAAATTAATACAATCCATTTGTGAAAAACTATATGATGATGATTTATATTCAGAAGAAAATCGACAATGGTTAAATGTTTGTGAAAAATGGATTAAATCAATTAATCATCAAGAACAGAATGATATAGAAAATGAAAATATGATAGATGGTAAGTACATGGAACAGATTAATAGAAGCGTCTATTGAACATATCCAGAGACAGAAGGGCAATATGCCTCATATGAATAATGACTGTAAAAAGTAGTAAGAAAAGGACATCTGTATTTCAAAATAAAATCATTAGTTTATCGTATAGAAGAAATTGAATTCTAATTTTCTTTTAGAATCATCTATGAAAGAAAATTATCAACCACGCAAATTTAGCTTCAGATCTGGATTTCGTAGTAGTGGTAGTAGTTCTCGTACTTCATTCAGCAGTAGCCGAAGTAGTAGTAGTGGAAGCAGCAGTATTCGCACCAGTGGAAGTCGAATATCTTCCTTTGGTACACAATTTCGTAGTACACGTACTGGTGCTACCATTTCTCGTCCAACTGGATGGTTATGGAGTCGATCTCGACGTGTTTTCCTGCCAATATCTCGATATTATTATTATCGATCTCGTCCCTCGAATAATCGATACACGACACCAGCTACTGGATATGAAACTTATTATTATTGTACATCAAATACGAGTGCTTCAATGGAAATTCAATGTAGTTCTATTAATGGTGATAGTCAATGTTGTGAAGTTGAATCAACTTCACAAGTTTTTTGTTGTGGTGGTAAAATTGACGATGATCTTTTAGAAGATTTTAATCAAGCAACGCAAATAATAGCAAGAATATTCTATACTCTAACAGCGATAACATTATTTATGCATATATTTATGAGACGATTTTATCGATGATTTTTTTCAACTATCGGCTTTCTCTTTTTTTATCAGTTTTTATTATGACTCACTATTTCAAATACAATGAATCAAGTTCAAACATTTCATTACACAAACTCTACGATAAAGAAACACCTTTTTTTTTCCTCATTATAGAGTTCCAGGTACTATTTATTTTGAAGTAATGAATCGATAGAAGACTTTTAACAAATATGAATAAGACTATTAGTTGACTAATTCATAGTTTCTAGTTCGTCGATGCGGTAAGATGCATAAGTTGATCTGAGTGATCTGTTATACAACGTAATTCTGTCAAAATAACGAGCAAAAAACAGCATTGTCCTTGTACTTGTTCAGAGATTAATATTCCAAAATGTTGATTAGTTTATATAATAACACATGACTTTGAAAGAACATTGTATGAATTTTAGAATTACGACAACTGGAGATTTTTATTTAATACAATATTGAGTCAAGAAAACTATTAAGTTTTTGAATTAAGAAATAAAAATATTATTAAGGTATATTATCAATTAAGCATTTATCTTGATTCTTTTATTTTGCATTGCATATGTAGCCCTTGAATTAAAATTTGAACGATTTCAATCTCACCACATGTGTGATGACATCAAGACATTACCGTGTATCACAGCATATAATATTGTAAAATGTTGTATAAAATGATAATTAAATGAAAATTTTAATTCTAATAAAAGAAAAAACTTGAGGGTGTGGATGTGAACATTGACGTTCTGTTGTTCCGGCAGGTCGCCAAAGCCTAGCCATACGCACATACACACCTTCTTCAAAGGATTATTATATACAAACGTTTACATATAACTCTGCTGTTGTGTGAGACAAACTAGATACTTTTGTTTGTTATTAATTTATTTTAATTAATTGAATCTTTCATTTTTATTAGTGTAAATAATGATTGTATGTTAGCATCATACAAGCTATTCATGTGGTGTACAAATTTTCCTTTTCTATCAAAACATTGCAGTCAATTTTTTCGATGTTAATTGAATTGATATATAGTGTGCAACTAAAATACATTATCTGTTCTTATTCTTTTAAGACTTTCTGTTCAGTGAAATCATTTTGAAATATTTTGCAATGACAAATCGAATTTATTAAAGTGTTATGCAGATAATTTTATTTTTTATTAACTATTTAGTTATAAGCTATTGAAAACAAATTTATTATACTTTTTTTTTAAAAAAAGTCGCTTGAGGCGAATGCTTATAACCGTTAAAGGGAAAGTAATAGAGGCCTGCAGTTTTCATTGTTGGATAGAGCACAGCAGGGCATGTATTGCTATGAAATAACCAGGTCTTCAAGTAAAGTTTAGCATGGTAAACCCACTAATGCAAACTTGACGAGCTTGCCATTCCCGGAGAGTAAGTCTGATTTTGATTTCCAAATAGTGGGACTAATAGCTCAGATCGAGATCTACACTTATAGACCAGCCACAGGTTAGTGTCTTTTACAGCTCACGAGTTATGGATATTCTTCGTAAAGGTATCAACTCCTATCCGTACACGGACAAAAATTTTTTTAAAACTCGACAGGTGGATTAACAGATATCCTGAACATCGAGGATTTGTTTGTTTAGAGATTGGGAAACATTTTTGATTTTGAGTCAGCTGAATCAGCTTCAAAAAAGGTTATACTATAGCAGTATACTGCAAACTCAGCGCGATAGAGTAAGAAATGTTTTTTAAACATTCATTTCTAGTTTTCTGTAATTTTTGGGCCCTAATTAGCGTTAATTAGATAAAAAAAAGACGTCCGTTCGAAGATGTACCATGGTAAACCTTTTCCTGAAGGCCTAGCTATTTCATAGTACTACATGCTCTACTGGCTGTATCCAACAATGAAAACTGCAGGCCTCTATTGCTTTCCCTTCAAAAGTTATAAGCATTCTCCCCAAGCGACTTTTTTTTGAAATAGATAATAAACTGCATTCTGGTTTCTTTCGACTGCATAATGCGGTGTCAATCTTTTAATGGTGATTAGCGAAAAGATCGATATTCTCCGGAAAAAAATCAATGAATGTTTTCGCGATTTGCCATAAAAGCTTCTCTCCAAAAGAAATTTATCTTCTACTGGAATGAGGGATTTTTGTTATAGTGAATTGGAAAAATTACGCTTCGATCAATCAGCTAATCTAAGTGAAACTGAAAGTGAAAATTAGTCTTTGTAATATGGATTATGAAGAGAAGTCTATTAGAATATATTAACAGGTTTTTAATAAATATTTTCAATTGATCGCTTGATTCTCTCTTTTATTCATTATCTATCATCAGTTGGATTGACAGCTGGCTTAGTCATAAGAAAAGAGTTTGATATCCAACTTTTGCTTATGTATTCATTTTAATTATCTCAAAACGAAAGAAATTCTCAACTCTGATAGTGCTGTTATTACAGAGCTGTTTGCATCCGAACGAAAACTTTTATCATCTTTGAACTTCAAAGTTTCTATCAATGTTCGAACGGATTTTCAAGGACTCTCAGTTCTTTCGATCATTACATAACGAAGTAGGCTGTGTTAGCCATTGTCAACATAGTTTAGTATGAACGTTGAATGCGCACACGACGGACTAAATCAATACTACACTTCACAATGCATTAAAAATTGATTTTACAGAAGAATATGATAATAAAAAAGAAATATTTATGTAATTTAATGTAAGTTTTTGAATAGCTGAACACAAATAACTTTAAAATAATATTTTAATGATGAATTTGAAATAATAAATCTGATCTATATAAAATTCAAAATGCTTCAGAAACAATCTACAACCAGACAATATAAGACAATTAAAGCAAAAAAGACAGATATTGTCTTGAGAGATTACAAACGCAAAACAAAATCGTCGACTGTTCCAATGAATAATAAGAAAATGATTTTAATAAATTAAGACATCTTCAAATAACAACTAATCTCATTTAAATTTCATGTTTTTTTTTCAATCGAACATGAGCGACATAACATATGAATCACATTACATCTTTGTATTGGTCTTTTCTTACCAACAAATAGTTGTTCGTATTTCACCGAGGAAACAAAAGAAAAAAGGTCTCTATTTATTTGTATTGATTGATTTTATTATTTTTAAACAGAATGATGAATGTAATGCGTGCAATTTTGATTAGAGAATTTGGTATATATTAATCTAGGATCAAAATAATTAATTATAATTAATCGAATTTTTTTCTACAGGTGATGCCAGTGTATGTAAATTAGTAAGAGATGTACCAATTCCTGATATACAACCGCGAGAAGTATATAAAAAAAATACAATTTAATTTATATTCTTGATTTGAATATTTATTTAGGTCTTAATTCGTGTACATGCTGCTGGTGTTAATCCAGTAGATACATATATTCGATCGGGTACCTATAGTCGTCGACCTAATTTACCATATATTCCAGGACTTGATTCAGCTGGCGTTATAGAACGCATTGGTACTGATGTTACTAAATTTAAGGTAAAAGTTCAGCAAAATTACTGTGAATAAATGGGTCTATCATTTGAGAAAATGTCAACAATAATTTAATTATATCGTTTGTTTAATACAAAGTAGTTACATTGAGATGGAACAGCTGCAATACTAAAACTAAAAATAATTGATCTCGTTTCATGTCTAAATAAATTTCAGAGAAGCAAGATAGAGAATTATTTCGTGAAAAATTTTTTCTTCCTGAAAATCTTTCTATTGCAATTGACTAACATTTTGTGTCCTTTGATAGAAAAAAAATCTATGTATATGAAATATGTGTATTTATTTAGGTTGGTGATCGAGTTTTTACAGTAAATACAATAACAGGCACTTATGCGGAATATTGTGTTGCTCGTGCTGATTTTGTCTTTCCTTTACCATCAAATATTTCATATGAACAAGGTTCAGCTCTTGGCGTACCTTATTTTACTGCTTATCGAGCACTTATTATTAAGTAAGAAAATAATTAAAATTTTTTGTTTTTTTTTTTGCTTTTATTAGAATTAGAAATTTTATATTTATTTAAATTTTTGGTGCACTTCGGTCATTAGTAACTGTCTTTTTCAATGCTGTTCCAAGACGAATATTTTCGAGAAGAACTGAACGATCACCTGAACCATCCGATGATGGAGGAGATGGCGGTGGTGGAGGAGGAGGAGGAGGAGGAATTGTTTGTGATGCTGGTGGCGGTGGTGGTGGTGATGAAGGTGGTCCTGAAAGTTTAGAGTTTATTGCTGTTGATGATGGAGAAATGGTTGGTGTATAACTTAAATTAATAATTGATGTTTCCATTTGTTTTGGTACAGTTGAATTTTTTCGTTTTTCTGTTGTTGAGGTTTTCATCGTTGAATTTCGTTTCTTTCGCATTGTATTTGTCCATTGTTCGAGTAAATTTTTAACATCATTAGAATATTCGCCTGGTATTGGTGTAAAATTTTGTAATTCTTTTAATATTGATTTTTGATTTGAAAAATAAGGTAATTGTCGAATTTCAGTTAAAGTTAAAACAGGTTGTGCTATATCAAATAGACGTGTTAACATTTGTCGTGCATCAGGATCTTTTCCACAATCATGCCAATGCTTTGGTGTTAAACCACGTAATTGTTCACCTAATTCATATCCAGTTAACATTTCAAATACAAGTCCACCAAAACAAAATACTTCACATGCTTGTGCTCGTGTCATACCATCAGGAAGTATTAATGATGATGTTGCACGTTTAACTAATGAATATATACGTGAACGTTGTTCTATAAATTGATATTCATATGAACCTATTTGAATACATGAACCTGATACAACAATATTTCCACTATGTAAATCTACAATTGGTGGTATTGATTTTGATTGAAGAAAAAGAAGACCTTCAAGTAATTGACGAGAATATAAACGAACACGTTCAAGTGATAAACCAGAACTTCGATAAGAATATTTACCCTAGAAAAAATAAAATTTTATATGGAAAAGAAAAAATCTAAACAAAAAAGAAATAACAAATATACATGAAAATTAGCTGTTGGTACAACACCATATAATAAATCTTTTAATGAACCCAAACGTTGATATTGTTTAACAGTAACAACTAATTTTTGCGTATATAAAATATCAATTTTTATAATTGGTTCAATATATGGATGATATAAACGACTAAAAAGATTATGTAATGTTCGAAAATATGTTCCAATACTTTCTTCATCATTTAAATGCTTTAATCGATCAGATTTTGGTTGAATTGTTAATAGATGAGATGCAGTATTTAATGATATTGTACTTGTTTTTGATATTGGTGTTATAAGAAACCAATTTTTTTCAGGATCAGAACCAAGTTGGGATAAATGAGAATGAAATGCATATTCACCTGTTGTTCGAATATAAAAATGACATGTTAATAATGCAGCATTTTCTTGTGCTTGTGCATGTTCTATACGTGGTTGAACAAGACGATAAAGTAATGGTGTATCATCTGATGGTGAAGAATTTTGTAAATGAACATATCGACGTCGTTTTCTTACATACCAACAAATAAAAAATACAAGTATTATGCCAAGTAAAATAACTGAAATAGTTATAAGAGCAATTACCATAGCACCATGGTCATCCATGATATGAAATTTAGATGTTATAATGATAAATATAACAAAGTAGTTAAAGATAAGAATAAAACCAAACAAAACACATTTGTCATCATTTATTTGCATTTATCTTTTTTCTTCTCTTATGTCATAGAGGACATGCGAAACCAAATGAAACAGTTTTAATTCATGGAGCTAGTGGTGGAGTAAGTAACCAAGAAAAAAAAAGAAAGAAATTCTTCAAGTTGCCTTTTTTATTGTTTGTTAAAAGGTTGGTATTGCTGCTGTACAATTAGCTAAAGCACTTGGCTTACGTGTTATTGGTACAGCATCAACAGAACAAGGTTTAAAAGCTATACGTGATCAAGGTGCTGATTTTGCTTTCAATCACAAACAAGAAGGATATTTAAAAGAGATTGCTGTAGGATTTTTCTCATCATATATTATTTTTCTAAGACTAAAAAAAACATATATTTTTATTTCTATTGTTTTTAGAGTGTTACAGTCAATGGCGAAGGAATTGATTTAATACTTGAAATGTTAGCAAATGTTAATTTAAATTCTGATTTACAATTACTCAAATCTGGTGTTGGAAGAGTAGTTGTTATTGGTAATCGAGGTACAATTGATATTAATCCTCGACTTCTAATGGCTAAAGAAACAAGTATATGTGGTGTTACTTTATTTAGTTCAAGTGAAGTAAGTATATAACATATGTGATACAAAAGTCATGTGAATATATTCTTTATTTTATTAGTATCATTTAATTAGAAGTGTATCATAAAAATAAATCTTTTTTTTTCTCAATGTATATTTCCGATTGACTTTTGCATCCATAATTTTACATTATATTTTTATGTCTTAATAATAGGAGGAATTTCAAATGATAAATGCTTATTTACAACATGGTCTTAAATATGGTTATATAAAACCATTACTTGGTCGAGTTTATCCATTAGAAGAAGCAGCACAAGCACAAAGTGATGTTATTTCTAATAGTGGAACATATGGAAGACTTACACTAAAAGTTTAATATGTTTTTATTCACATAAAACTTTCTAATGTTCTTTTTAAAAAGAAGAAACATTTCTTTTTTTCTACAATGGATAGATACTATATACACGATGTGTAATTTTAGCTTGTTTTAATCAACAGTTCTATAATAATAATAATAAAAAAAAGCATTCGATTTTTACTTGTTGTGCACCTAGCATAAATTGTACTTTTTTATTGGCGAAATAAAATCAAATTTTTGATTTTTTTAAAGTTTCAAATGAAGAGATAAGAAAACAAAAAGATGAAATGATACTATGAACATTTGCTCTCCATGTTAGCTTAAAGCCGAGTAACAGAACAGTAATGTTCTACAACTGAATTGGAAACCGGGCATCCGACCCGACAATACATGAGATAGACATCTCTGTGCAGCACACTACTAAACAGTCTATAATGAACATGTCATGTAAGTCATTGTTACTTCATTAGCGAAAAAAAAACCAACACCATTTGCAATTAAGTTGAAGAAAATAATATTTTATAACGGCAATGAGTGTCTAATAGGTTTTAACTGGCCATTGTCCCTTAAGGTTAATTTTCATTTAACAGGGAAACGGAATTTATGTCTGAAATTTCACTCAGATATAGATCTCATAGTCCTTATAATATTCTAAAAGTTTTAGTAAAAAAGGATGATTTCCTATCAAAATATTGTATACTCAAAAAAATCTGATTTCTACGAATCGTTGGTAAGAGACTAGCGGCTTTACAACTCTGTTATCTTATAATAGAAGCATCCATTTTGACTGAAACTTTTAGGACATTATAAAAATTAGGAGATTTCTGTCAGAGTAAAATATTAGACTAAGATTTCTTGATTTATTTTTTCTCGTAATATTCTGCAATAGGCTAAAAATTCAGTAAAACAATCGTATCTCAAGAAGAAAACGCTAATGGCACATATTCTCTCAGAACTTTTATCTGTATAATGGACCCTAACAGTCAGCAAATATGAACTCAAACGAAAGTTATTCGTAGGAGGAATTTCCACATAAGAATTTTAGTTGATGTGTGAATGTTTCATACCTTCATTCGCGCAATTTATCTCCCTAAAGTAATATTTTTGATCATAAAATGTGCATTATTTCTGCTATAATTCTTGCAAAAATATTCATAAATTGAATATATATTGTAGAATTATTTCTAGATCTAATAAAGAAACTTTTGAATTCTAATAGAAAATGGTCGACATGATATGCTGGATTATAATATCTCTATAAAATGATGCAGTTTGTCTGAGAAATCTATGTTTTTGATTCATGTAAATGATGTCTTACATTCGGTAGAAGAAAATTAACATTGTAATTTTTAAGATTATAGTATATAGTTTAACTCTTTGAAGATCATTGTACAGAATATTTTAGAGTTTCTTAATTTCTGGGTAACTTACAAACGCAAGAAAGACATGAAAATGTGAACATGTAGTTTTATCAATTGATTTCAAATATGATATTACTTTAATTTGCCAGTATATGGAAAATGAAATAATTTGATGCTAGGATGAATGATCCTTGGTTCCTTATTCTTATCTTTCTATGTATGTTTCAATAGTGAATGTTCTTGTTCAATAAATTTGTCGAATCATATACTAGTTGATCTCATATTTTGTATAAATAATAAAAAGACATTTTAGAGCGTCTAGGGTAATTTTGAAGTGAAAATAATATTGAATATTTTTGCATGAGAATCTTGAGCTTCAAACGTGACGCTCGATCATAAACTAGCTGTATTTCAGAAATTATTCAGAACTAATACTTCAATTTCCTATTGCAGATAGAAGACAATCAAGACTACATTTTGATTAAAAGAAAACGTTTTTATATCTGTTGGATCAAAATTTATTATCGTTTTATGATCAAACAACTGAATCGTTTATATCTCATGAGTAATCAAAAAAAGAGGTCTAAACATATTGCATGATCAGGATTCACTGTGAACAATAATAATACAAATTTATAAAACTCTAGCTATTATGGTTGAGAAATGGTCCTCAAAGGATTAATAATAGTGTCAAGGAATATATCTTGCACGACTCTTTTAAATGGACTATTCGATAAAAGTGATTAATTTACTTCCATCTTCAAATGAAAAGTTTATTCTCTAGTGCATAGTACAAAATTAGATCGTTGTAAATATTCAATATTGCATACAAATTATAATAAAGAATCAAGAGATGTAAGTATAAAATTCAAAATCTGTCTACAATAAAAGAATACTCGATACTATTTGAATCAATTAACATATTAGAGATTTATCATGACTATTTAAATGATGCTGTTATCATGTTACAATAAAAGATAATATATTTTTCATGTGTTCAATGTTATCAAAATATCATAGACTTGCTTCAATTAAAATAAATAACGAGTTGACGTCTTATTTAGTATATTTTAGAGAGAAGAACGTTGAATGATAAATTGATTCATAGGAAAAACAATCGTAACATCGATTAAGTATGAGGCACAGTATTTTGATCAAATCGCTTTCAAATAGTCTCTACTTTCGATCATTGAATGATTTCGAAAAATATTCTCAAACATGAACTATTTGAGAAATTATCCATAAAATGACATCGAAAAATGTAACTGTTCAAATGATCGAATTGTTTGTAGCTTTACGAGCAAACTAAAACCGTGATTAAATTTTTATTAGATACTCTAAAAATACATGTCTAATATGATCGATTTTCGTGAAAAATTTTGTCATACTATCATTGACCGTACGTGAATTCGACACATGTTATTATTTTAGTGAGTAGCATAGTTATTCTATGAAGATTGTTTCTAGTGACGATGTAACAACAGATCTTGTACTTCTCACTTTCAAGAACATATTCATATTGAAACCAGTAAATTTTCATAGAGACAAGTTTCACTGATCCCAAAAAAAAGTGAATAGCATAGCTCTTGTGGCGCAATCGGTTAGCGCGTTCGGCTGTTAACCGGAAGGCTGGTGGTTCAAGCCCACCCAGGAGCGTAACTTTTTATTTTAAAAAATGAAATTAAAACAAAGTTAAATTAATTTAAAAATTCAGCACTTGTATTGTATATAAAAAAAATGAGTTCTGTAGTAAAGTGTTAATTTTATTGCAGGAAAAAAGTAGTTTAATTAATATTAATATAGAAACTTCGGTAGAGCTCGACAAACTCAATTGAATCATTTGAAAACCTCAAAAATTAAGTTTAAGTAGTCTCTTCAGAGGAAAAGAAAATGAAAATATGTATTAATTGAATAGAGAGAATCTAGAATATGCGTGTCTGATAATTCCATTTGAGTGACAGAATAGAAGAAAATATGTAAAACTTAGTTGCTGTCATATCTTTTTCTTATGTTGTTTGTACATGATGAACAAAGGTAACATTGTTTCCACTTCTTTTTCCTGTTAATTGTATTAAAAAACAAAAATTTACGCTCCTGGGTGGGCTCGAACCACCAGCCTTCCGGTTAACAGCCGAACGCGCTAACCAATTGCGCCACAAGAGCTGTGCTATTCACTTTTTTCCAGGATCAGTCAAACCTGTCTGTAAGAATTTACCCTTGCTAGAGAAAAAAGAATATGATATGTGTCTAGTGAAACATCATTGTCTACGAAAGAGTGAAAAACATTAAAAAAAGTCACAAGTATTCTGAAAGCATCATGTCATGTTATTAAATAGGAAACGATAATGAACAATCATACCAATGTCTCATCTGAAATTATGAAAATTTTGTTTTCAGTCTTAATCCTTTCAATCCCGTCATTTTCTTGCGTTCAGCTATCACAATTATATGTTTTCGAATTCTAGATTCATTATTCATATATCCATACGAAGTGATTTTCATTTGAACATATCATATGATATTTGTCGTCTATGAAGACGAAAAAACGCAAAATATTTCTTTTTCATACTGCATGCCATCTCGTAGATGACATGCCGAATTGAAAAGGTTAAAAAGAACTCCTGCGTAATATCTTCTTCCGATCGTAACGGAAC